AGCCACTCCTGAGAATGAAAAACCTCATCAAAAATCCCTTTGCCTCACAAAGGGATTTTTGGAGGAATAGGAAGCACATCCTTCACTGCACAGCTGCTGCTCCATGCACTTCTCCCAAATAAATCCCTAATAAAGCTGCAGGAGGGATGGAATGTCTGCCCTGCACCTCTTCCCTCCTTGCTCAGCTTCTCTCTCCCTCTTGATAACAAAACCAACAACTCTTCTACTCCTGGTGTGAAATGGAGAGGGGAAATTCCATTGCCTGATCCCAGCATCTGTTACATCCTGTTTAATTCCCATTTATTTGATGTCCATGAGCTTCTTCAGCTGGGAGGACAGAGAAGAGAGCACAAACATTCATTAATTCTGCCCAGCTAATTAATGAATTCATGGATCTCTTACAGTATCCGGGGTGTTTGTTTCCTTTCCCTGTTTCCATCCTGTCCTGCTCATCTCCCAAAAATCCACAGCCTCCCTCAGTTTTCAACTGAATCCCTTTTCCTGGCACCAAGATCTTTATGGAAGAGGAGGGAAGATGACAAAGATATTTGGGTTTGATGAGCTGAGGGCACAGAGGGGAAAAAATCCTGTGGGGAGTCCTTGGCTGGCTTTGCTTGGTGTGGGCAGTGCCAAGGATCTCCTGATCCTCCCTGAAAAGAGATTTTGGAGGGGGGAGGGCACCAAGTCCAGAATAAACCAGAAAATCGTGGAAAATACCCCAGAATGGTCTCAGTGGAGGTTCTGAGGCTGCCTTGGGGGTGCTGGAGGGCACAGGAACCAGGACCCACTTCTGTTTATATCAACCATTCTCATTCCAAACTCATTTCCTGTGGCTCCCTTCCTGTTTTAATGGGAAATGTTTCCTTTGACAGGACCTCACCGAATCCATTTATCCTGCTCTGTTCCAGCTCTCCTGCCACATTTATCACCCAAGGATCTGAGTGCATTCAACACAACCACAGACATCTGCCAGCTTATTTTTTTTTCCCCCTCTCAGTCTCCTCAGGAGAAAAAATGAAATGAGTGCAACAGTTTTCCTATTTTAGGAAGTTGGACTTTTGCCCCAGCCTCTCTCCCACAAACATTGCTTTAGTTTTAGTTTTTCTAGTAGAAAAAACAAATCCCCACAGGGTCCACATCCTCAGGTTTGATCCTGAGACAGTTTTAGTTTCCAGAAACAAAGCTGGACCATCCCTTCACTGCCCAGCTCAAGGGAAGGGGTCAGGAATATCAGGAATACTCTTCTTCTCACCAGGCAGCTTTTTGGCTGGAGGACTGGGAATCTGGGAATCTTGCACCACAATGGAACAGAAATGGCCACAAGTGTCAGGAAAATGAGGAAAAGCATCACCTGGACTGCTGAGAGCTCATTGTTGTCAGTCTCCTCAGGAGAAAAAATGAAATGAGTGCAACAGTTTTCCTATTTTAGGAAGTTGGACTTTTGCCCCAGCCTCTCTCCCACAAACATTGCTTTAGTTTTAGTTTTTCTAGTAGAGAAAACAAATCCCCACAGGGTCCACATCCTCAGGTTTGATCCTGAGACAGTTTTAGTTTCCAGAAACAAAGCTGGACCATCCCTTCACTGCCCAGCTCAAGGGAAGGGGTCAGGAATATCAGGAATACTCTTCTTCTCACCAGGCAGCTTTTTGGCTGGAGGATTGGGAATCTGGGAATCTTGCACCACAATGGGACAGAAACGGCCACAAGTCACAGGAAAATGAGGAAAAGCATCACCTGGACTGGTGAGAGCTTTGTGTCAACAATGAATCCCAAAAATCCTCCTGAGCTACTGCCCAAAGTGATCCCTGTGCATCATCTCTATGGTGTTGGCATTTAAAAAAACCCATGGAATGGTTTGGATTGGGAGGGACCTTAAACCCATTTAATTCCAAACTGTGCCATGGCAGGAACACCTTACACTGTCCCAGCTGCTCCAGCCCCAGTGTCCAGCCTGGCCTTGGACATTCCAGGGATCCAGGGGCAGCCACAGCTGCTCTGGGCACCCTGTGCCAGGGCCTGCCCACCCTGCCAGGGAACAATTCCTGCCCAATATCCCATCCATTCCTGCCCTCTGGAAGCCATTCTCTGTGTCCTGGCATGGCAGAACTCTGGAACACGGGTGTTCACCCACAAATGTTCATCCCCTGCCTGGGTCTTGGGACCTTGCCAGGGGAGGAACACGGAGAAAGGGATGTCCCCCCTCAGGAGCAGCCTCAGCCTGGTTGTGCACTATCCTGGGAATTGCTGTGTGGAAGGCAGCGGGATCCCAGCTAAAAACGGGGAAGAGAGAGGAGGTGCCTCCCTCCCGGCTGCTCCTGCTGAGGGAGCTGTCCATTCCTGACTGCCCGGAGAATTCCTTCATGCCCCGTGTGCTGTCACACAGGCGCTCCCGGAGGTGCCTTTGGGCAGCTTCCCCGAGGACTCTGCCAGGAATGGGGAGGTCTGGCCAGCAAGAGAAGCTGGATAACCAAAAATCTCCAGGATTTCACAGAATGACGGAAGGGTTTGGGTTGGAAAGGACCTTACAGATGACCTCAAACCTGATCTCAGAGCTGCTGTGTGTGAGAGCTCAGGCTGTGGGAAGGACAGGGGCAGGGAGGGGACAGGGCTGCTCACTGGGAAGTGACCTTTTCCCAAGGCTGCCAGGATCTCAGCTGGATTTATGGATATGGAGTCCTTTGGCATGGTCAGAGCTTCTCAGCAGTGAAAAATTGGTGCCTGTGAGTGGCACTTGGTAACTGCAGCAGGGCAGGGAGTGCTGCAGCTCTCAGGATCCACTTCGGCGTGGATCAGGAGTGCTCAGGGCCTCTGGAATGTCTCAGGAATGACTTCTTGGAGCTGGCTTGGCAGGCTCAGCAGAGGCAGCTGCGAGTAACACGAGCCCAGGATGCGGTCGCAGCAGGAGCTCTGAGGAGTGCCTTCATGTCATCCTCCTGCTCTCAGCATCCCTCCCAGCATCCAGCCTGCCAGGAGGATGGCAGGGAGGAGAGGAGGAACCCTGGCAGCTGCAGACAGGAACAGCCCCGTCCTTCCCAGCAGGGTGAAGCACTGCTGCTGTTCCCAGCCTCTGGAATTGCATCCATGGCTCTGAATTGCTGTCTGGATCAGGATTGCTGCTCTCTCCTGTTGCCAGGGAGCTGAAAAGCTTGGATGTGCTGCCTGGAGGCTGGGAATGACCAAGAGCAGGATTTGAATTTCCCTGGCCTTGTAGTCTGGAGGAGCAGAGTTTCTTTCAGCCATTTGGGAATTCTGTATCTTGCCCTAATTTTTGTTGTCCGGTGCTTACAGATAAGGGACAACTCCTAAATATTCCAAAGATTTGCCTGAGCCTAAACCACAGGGTTTACACCTAGAATCCAGGGGAGGATTGCAGAGGTGGCTTCTCTGTGGAGTTTCACAGAGTTTAACAAGTTTAACACCTTTGCACACCAAACTCTGGACCAGATTCCCTGATCTGTGTCCAAGGCAGCAGAGAAGGACAAAAATTCACCTTGGTTCTCCTTGCTGCAGCCCAAGTTTTGTAAAAGGTATTGGCATGTTGAAATTCGATTGATAATTGCTTTTGTATTTTAAAATAAACTCCTGTGTGTTATAGAAATCTCTCCATTAATTTTTAACTCTTAATTTTACTGAGCTGAACAGACAATCTTTTCTCCTCTGTAGGATTACGTGGCACAAAACTCTCATTCAATATTGTTCTTTTATTGCATAAAGAGTGGTTTATCAAGATCTGCTGTGGTCTGCCCTGTGGGCCTGTGGGATTTTGGGCCATGGGATGGGACTTGAGCAGGAATCCCAACACAGCCGCCTTCTGTTCACTTTTCAGAGGCTGCAGTCATGAATCCCTGGAAAAAATCAAGGGGCCGTGTGTTATCCACAAATAACCAGTTTAACTCTTCATTTAAAAGGTTAAAATCTATAATGAATAGATTTTATTTTTCCCTGCTGGACTCTGAGATTTTGGGGAATTGGGGTGGGTTCTGTAAGCCTTTTAAATGCTGCTCCTCGGCCCTGAAGGCCAGAAAATTCCTCTTTTACCACGTGAGCCAAGTCTTCATGTTATTGCTCCAGAAACTTGGCCTTTGATGAGGGCATCAAACACCCCAAGATCTCATGTTTAGGACGAAACAGAAGTGAAGAACCATGCAGAGAGAATTACCCTTTATGTGCTGGGTGTTTGGGGTGGTGTGGCCAGGCAGCAGCTCCCACAGGTGTGACATGTGACATGAAATCCTCGAGGTGAGCAGCTCCTGTTTGCCAGGGCCTCGCAGGGAAGAATTCCTGCCCAGAATCCCAGCCCAGCCGTGCCCGGGGTTTGTACCTGCTGCTTCCCCCGGCTGTGGAGCGTCCTCTGCTCCAGGCGACATTCCCTAGGGACACTCCTCGAACCACCACCACCAGCACCTGCTTCCTCTCTCCCGCTCTGCCCCTATGGATGCAATGATATCGATGAATTTGTGTTTGATTCCTCGGAATCCCGGGCTGGTTTGGGTTGGGAGGGACCTCAGCGCTCCCCTCATCCCACCCCGCCACGGGCGAGCGATGCCACGCACCAGCCCAGGCTGCTCCCAGCCCCATCCAGGCTGGAATTCGGCTGGATTTGCTGCAGAGCCGCTCCCGGGGCTCGCCTTGGCCCAGACCCGGCCGGGGAGGACCCGGGGCCGGGGCTGCGGCGGGGGAGGGACGGACGGAGCGGGGCGGGACGGACGGAACCGGGAGGGGAGAGCGGAGCCGAGCGCTGAGGGAACGGGAAGGAAGGAGCAGAGCGGAGAGGAGCAGGCGGGGAAGCAGAGGGAAAGGAAGGGGCGGAAAGGCAAAGGAAGGGAAGGAAAGGCAAAGGCAGGGAAGGAGAGGGAAAGGAAGGGAAGGAGAGGAGCGGGGAGCGAAGGGAAGGCAGGCGAGGAGCCGAGCCGAGCCGAGCCGAGCCGAGCCGCCGGCGCTCCCCGCGGGGCCGGCCCCGCTCGCTCCGCAGCGCTGGGGAAGCGCGGCCGCCGCTCCGCCGCCAGCGCCGGGGCCATGGAGCGCTGAGGGCGGAAACCTGAGGGGAGCCTGAGGAGAACCGGAGGAGAACCGGAGGAGAACCGGAGCCGCCGCCGCTGCCGAAGGTAAGCGCTGCCCGCCCGTGGGGCCGCGGCCGCCGCCCGGGGCCGGGGCTGTGAGGGGACCCTGCCCGGCCCGGCCCGGCCCTGCCGTGAGGGGACCCCGGGGGTCCCGCTCCGTGCCCGATGGAGCCCAAGGACCGAGTCGCTTGTGGGGTGTTTGCGTGGCCCCTGTTAAGTTTTGTCGTGGGGAATCACATGGCTTTAAGAGAAGAAAAACCCCAACAAACAAGGGTTGCGGTTTGCCAGAGAGCAGATGTACACTTTAATTGTTTTTTTTTTAATTACTTTATTTCTGCTCCCTCTGCACCTTGTAGGTATTCCATGCGTATGTTTATTTCCCTTCTATTTCTCCCTATATTCATTCCGCCTCGAATTGCTGTTGGAGTCGCTCATTTTATGCTGGCCATGGTGTTCCCTAGAACCGCATTCCCGGGATTTGCGCCTTCCCGGCCCCGTGGCATGGGGCTGCCCTTGCCGCCCAGCCCAGCCCCGTGCCGAAGCCTCGGCGGCGGTCTGCAGCCCGGATCCTCGGCACTCCGAGCGGGATGAGCCCTCCCGGTGCTCCTCTGCCGGAGACATTTCCTCTGCATCATTTCCCTGCCATGTGCTTTCAGCCGGTTTGTTTTTCCTGAGCCTCCTTTTCCCAGTTCGGAGCCTGGTGGGGGTTGAGAGTTCAGAGAGGGTCTGGGAGTTGTTCCCTTGGTGTGGTGAGCTCTTTGCCCTCCTCAGGTGGAGGTCGGTGAGTTATAGATCAGTTCTGCTGAGGAGCGAGGTGTTTGCTGTGATCTCCGGGGCTCGGATGGAGCCACAAGGGCACCGAGTTGTTTTGTGTGATGCTCAGCATCCGCTGCCACAGGAAACATCCCAAGAGATCCTCCACTGAAGAGAGAATTCCCGGTAGATCTCTCTTGTGTGAGACTCTTTCCAGCAGAATCCATACAACGCCTTTTGTTTTTTTCCTCTGGAATCCAGGTGTCCATAAGAAGCAGCAGCGAATAAGCTGAATAATTGCATTTGCAGGTCATAAATCCAGTGGAACAGGGAACTTTTTTAGGCCACTGTGAGAGAGATGCTTGTTTGTAGTGTCCCTCATTATCAGCTCCAGAGAGGGAGCTGATGGTTGAAAAGGTTCTGAACAAATCTGTGATCTATAAATCATCTGGAATAAACGCTTGTTAGCACAACAAGTGCTTTTCCTGGCAGATTATTCATTGGAATTCTCTGTTTCTCTTGTCATCTCATCTATTTTAATGTTTTCTAGTGCCTGCTGAGGTGCTCCAGGTACAGCTGTATCCTACTTTATTCTCGTTTTTGGGCATTTTAGATTCCAGGAAATAATTTTCAGTGCTTAATGTGAAGCTGAAGTAAAGGACGATATTGAGCCTTTTTGGCTGTTTTTCCAAAAACATATTCAGGTTTTTTCTCCACCACTTCTGTATTTACTTCCCAGCTCTTCCCACGTCACATGGAAACCTCTCCTTATTCAGCATTCAAATCCTGATTTATCCATCAGGAAGCTTAACCCAGATTAGCTGAGTAATCGTCTCTGGGAACACAGGGCTCCTTTAGAGAGTCATTCCAACCAAATCCCTGGAATTTCCATCTTTGAAATGGATAGCCACGGATAGAGCTGGAAAATCCTGCCTAAAATGGCAGCTTTTAATTGGAATGGTTTGTTTTGTTCAAAAATCCTTTCCTTGGAATGATCCACGTGGAGCTGTCCCTGGAGCAATGGGGGAGATTTTAAACATTTGGGAACAATAGTGACAAAACAGTGCTTGGAAACACCTTTATTCCTTTAAATTAAGTGCCTGTCTTTCCAATTTTCAGTCTTTATATGGTTCCCTCAGCAAATAAAATGGGATAATTATGGCAGTGGGATAAATACAGCCTTGGCAGATGGGAAAAAAAAACCCAAAAAGAAAACACTGGGAAGGTGTAGGACAAATAATGAGGTGAAAAAAGCCCCTTAAACTTGATGCCTGTTGCAAACAGATGAGTGCATATTTATATGAAATATTGCTTTGAAGGAAAAGAATTTTAACCTGTTATAACTCACGCTGTGGGTTTTTTTTTTTCCATTTTCCCTCAGTTTAGAGAATGAAAATAATTTGACAGTTTCACTTTGGGCTCCTTGCTGCTGCAGTGTTTTGGTTTCAGGCGATGCAGGGGGATGCTTGAGCTGGGGTAGGTGAATTTCAGCTGAATTTCTTTAATTATGAAAACAGCTCTCAGCTTCAAGCTTGTTTTTACAAAAAATGAACAAACTGATACCATCCTCTTGTGCTAAAACACGCAGGGAAAACCTGGCTGTGCTTCCTGGTACATCTCTGACTGTTCCACTCATCTGTGAGCCCTTCGTATCCCAAATAATTCAAGGATCTATCCATTATTCAGGTTAAAATCTTAGAAAGAGTTTGATGAATGGTACAGAGAAAGTAAATTAAGAACTTTCCTCTTGGTTATGCAGCAAAATCGAAAAATCCAAGCCTTTTAATTTAATTTTTAACTTAATCTTTCATTAGATGTCTAATTGGACCAAGGGTCCATTTGCCAGAGTGTCCTTGGAGCACAAAACATGGCAAAGTAATTCCTGCCAATCACAGAAGCCTCCAGAAGTCTGAGAAACTTTGCAAATGGAAAAAAAGACAATTTATGAGAACAATAAAGAAAAGGGAAAATGGTTTATCCTTTGTATTTTAAACCAGGCTGAGAGATAAGAGGGAACTTCCTGGGAGAGCAGATTATTCCCTGTCTGCCTCCAGTGGAATTCCTGCACTTTCTGCTGCAGCATCTGGCACTGCTGGCAGTGATGAGAAAATAGATTAGAGGATGAGGCTGGGTTAAATCCGTGCTTATTCAGGTGCTTAAAAAATGTCATTTTGTGCACTCTGAGTTCGGCTTTTCCTCGTGTTTGGCCACTTAAGGATACACTTTGTTTATAAAGAACTCAGGGGAGGAAAATCCAGAAAATTCCCTTTTTTTCTGGTCTTTGTTTCTCCCTTTTCTGTCTGTCCATGTGGGGTTTTGTGCGTGGATCGTGGGATTTTTTCCTTTCCTCCATCCATTTTCTTTCCTGAATTTCTCTCCTCTCTGGAAGCCAAGAGGGTTGTGGATATTTTTACCCATGGGAATGAAGTGGAACCAAGGCAGATCCAGGGCCTGGGAGAAGTTAAGGACAATCTCGGTGGTGCTGAAAATACAGGCTGGGAATTGGGACAGCGTGGAGCAAAGATATTGCACAGAGTGAGATGTTTTATAGAGCAAAATTATAAAAAGTGTTCAGGCCTGAACACAGGAAAAATGCTGAATTAAGGTCTTTAAACTGTGGGGGCTGGAGCCAAGTGGGCAAAACCCCTTTGGGCTGGAGGTCAGACCCAGTTTTCCATTAAAGCCTGCCGTGCTTCTGGGATTCCCCGTGGGGATTTTCCCCTCAGCTTTCCCTGTTGGTTACCCAAGGAACATCACAGCATTCCCGTTGTCCTGTGGGCTGCAGGGGAAGTGGGGAAATGCCAGTATTTCAGGAGATAAATGAGGTTGATTTCTGGTGACAGAAAAGCAGCAGAAGTCCCAAGATCTCCGTGTCAGAGCAGTTGAGGGCACTGATGTCCCCTCATTTTTTGGAGTGTCCTGAAAGGGAATTGATGTGTGGAAAAAGCCTCTATAGATTCTTCTGCCCCCATGTCTCAGGGTGAAAAACCTCCCCAGCGGCTCTGTGATGGATGAGGTGGCATTTCTGAGGAACATTTGGAATATTCCTTTGCAGACAGCTGTTGAGAACGTTCCACTGAGCTGTTAAAGAGTTAACTCAGCCTCGTTTGCTCTCTAATTAATTTGCTGGGGGATAATACCCCACGTCTGACCTGATTTTGGCAGCAGATTTGGTGGGAGCAGCTGCTGATCCTGGCGCAGGCTTTGCCTCCGTGCAGGAGGTGTTGGGGAGCAGCTCAGGACCAGGGGACACGGTGAACACACAAAACTCTGCTGCAGGTGCTGCTCCCTTCCTCATCCAAGCCCTCCTGGCCTGGAGGAAGTAGGACACGGAGTGTTGGCAATAAAAGGATTTATTTTTTTTTCACTGTTCAGGGCAGATCTTGTGGAACAACGGGCAGAGCTCGCTGTGCTGCAAGCGAAGGTGTGGGAAGAGAGACGAGGGGAAAGAGAGGTCAGCTAAAATAAATCCAAGGAAACAATCCAGCCTTGGTGACTCCAGAGAGCCAGGGAAGCACAGCGGAGAGGGAACAGCGAATAAACTGATTCCGGGGGGTTTATAAGCCAGAGAATTTCCCTGAGCTCTCCTAAATGCAGAGGGAATCTCTGCCTGCTGTAGGGACAACAATCCCTGGGTGTTTTTGGCACAGGGAAGCTCAGTGGGGCTGCCAGAGGATTTGCTCCTCAGGATTCTTTTGGATGCTGTGCTTTTATGTCAGTGGTTCTGAACCTGGAAACAAGAAGTTGACCCTTTGCTTGGGTAAATAAGCACCAGGTTTTTAGTTTTGTTTCTGCCTGGGTTCCTCTGTGAGCTCAGGTGCCTCTGGCACATCTAAGGAATTGTGTTTCTTCTGGGAGCTAAGGCAAATAAAGGCACTGCCTGGAGCTTAGAAGGAATCAGACTTGGAGTTTTCTCACTGATGTGCAGGAATTGGCTTTGGTGTCTGAAATCTGAAATTTAAAGAAAAAAAGAGAGAAATTTCCCCTGATGGAGGAGAACCTTCTCTAACCTTGTTGTTGCTAAACAAAGCTCAGCTTCTGAGTCACCCCCATGGATCTGGGTTGAATATTTGCTGCCTGCAGGATGGGCACCGAGGGATAAATCCCTCCTGAGCTTTGGGGAAGGATTAGGACTGTGCTCAGATGGAAAAATAAATTCTTGCCATTGATTTTTGTCCCGTTCACGCTTTTGTAATTCAGCAATTGCTCGAGGAGGGCACAGACAGGATCCCACTGGAATAAACAGCACAGAAAATCTGGGATTGCCAGAGCTCCTGGGAAATGTGGGAGAT